GAGTCTCCAGAGAAACGAACATATGACGTTTCTCGTGGACAAAATCGATATGTGAGGCTTCCCTTACCAAGGTCACACAACTGCGACACCAGACAGGGTACCTTGTTCACGGCTTGTAATTCTTTCCTAGTACAGTATGTAGGCCTACAGTCGGGGAAACTGCGACGTTTGTCGAGTAATTCTAATGGAAAGCAGCCATATAGGAATATTAAAAGTACGCTCGTGAGAAACACGAAAGTTGGATTGTGTTACTGGTGGCTGCTGCGCCGTCGAAATTACAATGGGGGAGATAGTTTCTGAGAGGTGCCGATCTGGTGAGATTTAGGTCGGCATTGTTTTGTCAATTTTGACTTTTTTCGACGGCTGTGTAACAAGATGCGACTGAGGAACACGACCTACCTCCACCGCCTCCAAGAAGACGTTTATTCGCTGAAAGAAAATAAATGCGACTTTACAACACTCTTTATAAAATAGGGTTGCTGTACTTTGCAACACTGTGAAGAATCCTCAAATTATTCCCTGTTTTCCCACTCTTGTGTTACTAAAGGGGAATGGCAATATATATTTTGTATTTTCTCATTTTACCGTTTTTCCATATCTTGCTTATTTCTACAAACATTTTGATCGAAAGGAATGAAATGTCGCCATCTTCAATTTTTGTAGATATGCATGTCACGTCACAACAGGGGTCACGCAATATTTTTATCTAGACAACCACTAATCATTTTGCACTCAAAACTATACTCTGTCTGCCCTTCGAAATAACAAGATCACTCAAAACCTTTAAAACATCTACCAATCAATATTTGATTAGCAACTAATGCTTTATTATATGGTTAATCCCTGTTGTGACGTCACCAAAACTACCGTTAATGAGATCAAAAATTTATCCAAGATGGCGGACATCTCATTACCACAGAATAGGAAGGTATGTACCAGAAGTCTCACTCAAGCAAGTATTTGTCCGCGTTTTTACAAGCGATTCGTCATCAATCACGCCATCCTGGCTAGTACAACCGGCACTTTGTACCTACCAAAACCTGATAAAAACTTCCGATTGTACTAGCCAGGATGGCGTGGATTGGCGTGAGCGAGTTAACATTTTCGTGGACGTAAAACAATAAGGGAAACGACTAGAGTTACGCTCCTGCTGTAACTTCTTATTCTGTGTCATTACTTCAAGTGAAATTATTTCAAGAACTAAGCAACATATGAACAATCGGTAAAAGAAGTTAATATATAGTTACAAAAGTTCTTTCAAACGAGAAAATAAAAATTTATCAAGCCATTTCCCTTTAAACGACTGGCTTAACATTTTTTATAAAAACGACGTTTCGGAGTTTACTCCATCATAGGTTAAAATACTACTTAACCAGCTTACGTGAGGCTATGAGGAAGTTCGATATTAAATATTTTGAAAAATAGGATATTGTTGCAGGTTTGTCCACCTTGGAAACCTACCAGCATTCACAATAGCATCAATTTCAAGCTGTGTTATATCCCCGAACCAGAGTGAAACCTTTCTGTTTATGTGATCATTGTCAGTGGTGAATTCTGAATCTTTTTGAAGCAAGCCTGGTAAATATATGTATGAAACTTTGGGGTTACCTAATAGATAGGAGAGGGGGTGTCTTAATCAAGAACAGGGAAGGGGGCAATCTTAATGGAAAGAAAGGAGTCTTGATGGAAAGGAGGGTGCAATGAATCTTAACAAGGAGGGGGGTTTTAATGGAGAAGAGGGCGTAATTTTAATAAAGAGTAGGACAAGAAGTTTTTACAAGAAAGGAGGAGTTTAATAAAAGGGTCTTTAAAGGTAAAAGGAGCAAGGGATCTAGCTTCGTTGAGGGATGACATTATAACAGGGGAGGAAGAGGGGTTTAACAGAGAAAAGGAGGGCATCTTAATAAAGAGAAAGGCATTAATAGAGAGTAGGGGATGGGGTTATAAACAAGGTAAAGGAGTAGGGTCATAGGGAGGAGGGGCTTTTAATAGAGGATACTGTTTTGTAGAGGAGGAAGGGTTAACAGAGAAAAGGGAAAAGGTGTAAAGGGAGTAGGATGGGTTCTCAATAGGAAGAAAGGGAAAAGCCTCTGAAAATTAATAGAGAGGAGGGATCTTAATAGCAAGGGGAAGGTGTCTTAATAGAAAGGAGGGAGGCTTAATAAAGAGCAGGGAATTAAGAGAAGGGGAAAGATTTTTAACACAGAGTAAGGTTTTAATGGTACAAAATAATATTAATAATACCTTTCCTGGTAAAGAAAGAATGACTGTCCTTCACATAATCTGGCCATGGTTGTACTTCATCTAAAGTCACATAATAATCACATCGGTAGTGCGAGCGTTTTTCCTCCAAAGACATCTTGCTGTAATCCAATCTTTTTGGTTTCTTATTTTCTTTTTTTGTTATCCAGCTCCAACCAGTATTTTTGTGAGACACTTCAGAAAAAAATGTAACCAAATTACCAGAAAGTATTCATTTATCAGTCATCCTAATTTGATTTTTGCCACGTCTTTTGAAATTTGTTATTTTGCCCAACAAATAAAATCACTGTAAATTACTCCATAATCAAGCAACAAATGTTGGGATAAATGCTTCCTGAGTGGGCTGTTTCTACAGTATGACTATTCACATTTTCCAGTATCATGGTCGCCAAGAGATGGGGATGTTTTGCCTCCAGTCCCATGCAGATCAAAAGGGGCTCACAAAACTAGTGATCAGCCGATAATTGGAATCGGTAGAAATATCTGTATTTTCTGATGTGTAAAACCAATTGCTGAGAAAATATACACTCTAAAATATTATGTGTATATATATATATATATATATATATATATATATATATATATATATATATATATATATATATATATATATATATATATATATATATATA